GTTTTTTAAAGTGAAGGCCGGTGAATCGAATGTGTTGACCGATTGAATATTCGCCGTCAATCAGCTAAAAATCATCTAGAACAAAACCCTAGATTTGTGATAGCTCGCAATCAACGAGAAATCAAGTGCTGGAGTGAGAGGGTTTTACAGAGAAGAGATCAAAGGTTCAAATGATGGTGCAGGAGAATTTTTGCCACTGGAATCGGCTTTGAGTATTAACGAAATATAACTTCGGGTGGGAAAATGGTATTTTGAAACTTTTGGGTGAAAGTTAATTAAGGCAAACCTTGGGTGTTAAGGTATATTAAGCTTCTTTGAATGTTGGGTTGAGTTTTGTAAAAGACATGCTCACTTGACTTGGTTAGCTTTGTATATTCAGATTTTAGGAGACAAAGATACTAGAAAGTCAACTACTTCGTATTACTTCACTCTCGGGTGATTGTATAAACTGGAAGTCTCAACTTCAGTCTATAGTGGCACTCTCATCAACTGAAGCTGAGTATATTGCCATTGTTATGTGTTCAAGGAAGCCCTTGGCTACAGTTTATTAGCTGAATCAAATCTACAGAGGGAAAGGTAATACATACTTTGATAGCCAAAGCGTAATCCACTTAAGCAAGAATCAGTTTATCACGAAAGGACAATGCACGTAGATGTTCACTTTCATTTTGTAAGGGACTTATCACTCAAGGAGTGATTGACTTGAGGAAAGTACAAGCTAGTCGCAAACAATCCGAATGATCGTTCAATCAATTCCGAGATAACTTCAGTACCAGATATTACAGGAATGACCAGATTAATAGCAATCTCTGCGCAATCATAGCACCAAATCACGAGAATATCAGAGTTGCAGTTCAAATCAATTGTAATCTCTTTATTTTCGCTCTTTCTTTTATATAACCTGTAATATAAACCCCCTCAAATGATGAAAAGGGGTTAGAAATTTTCCATAACTCTTATTATAATCTCTCATAGCAAATACAAAAACAGTGGACATAGGCATAAGAGGCTATCTCGCCGAACCATTTTAAAAATCTTATTAATTTTACTTTATTGCACTTATCATTCACTCATCGCTGATTATCCGTAATCACGCTCACATCAGTTCCGTTTCCACCAAAGTCAATCGGATCTCTCTGGTTGGTGCGAATTTTCGTATCAACAAGATGATCAAATTGGCAATTCTAATTACAAAACTTAATCAACTGAAAACCAAGATCTTTTTACTCGTGTTCAAAGTTGCAGTTGATGCTATAACTCTCATGTTTTATTAATTTGTTCTGTTGATGACTTGATGTTGCAGGTGAGAAAGCTCCACAGAGCTTGCTTAAGAATCCTGTAAAGGTAATATTATAATACGCTGGCACTCATATCATATAAATTTTTTTGCCTGAAATAGTTTATTCAGCTTGATAATTCTTTTTATTGATATTTAACAGCTGTCTCTCTTATTTATTCAGATTGAAGCAGCATCAAATATTCCACTGTTGACACACTGAAGCAGCAGTACCGCTTTATTCCTGCTTAGTACAGACCATTACAGATGCTAATAACTGCAAATGTTTAACTCATTGAAGTTTGTTTTCACCTCTCAAGGTTTTTAATGTGAAATCTGACTCAAACTGCACTTTAATGAAATAGTATTTAAATCTCTCTAACCCCAATGAATGGAATATATATGCTAATCTTCATTTTGGAAATCCTCTTTGAATACATTTCACTATTGAAAAGATTTGCGATTTTTTTAACAGAAGTTGCAACGTTATCTCAACTGATATTTTAAGCCATGCGCTACCTTGGAGAAAAGTCTTACGGACACTGTTTTTGAGGTTCAAATTTATGAAGGGGTGACCTTTTTGTCTATAATGGTTTGCATGTGAGCTATGGAAACCATAAAGCTTTGAACTTCTTGTCACTTACCATTGCAGTTGTGTAAGAAAATAGAGTTCATGATATTTTTAACATATTCAAATATGTTAGTTAAGAATTCTTATGGAAAGTTTGCAAATATATTCATTCATCTATGCTTTTCTATGTTGCTGATGTTTGATGTCTACCTTGCATATACTTCCATTTACCTGTACTGCAGGAAGGTATCTGTGTATACCTGACTGAGATGCCAGGATCTTCAACGATGGTTTTTACTCGAACATGTGATGCAACTCACCTTTTAGCTTTGCTGCTTAGAATCTTGATCAAAGAGCCATCCCAATTGGTGGTCAGATGAGCCAGGTATGATAATCTAAGTGACTTATGTTTGAATCAGCTTTTGCGCCTTTAATTATTTATAGTTACTTGCGTTTTTCATAGCCTTGTTTGCTGAATCAATTTTATTTCAGGATTACATCCAATAGAGTGGGAAGAACTGCTCGTGCAGGACGATCTGGTGTTGCATCTCATTAGTGAATCAGTACGAACAGGAATGTATATGCAGATAGAGAAGCTTATTGGTAGGTTCTACATTCTTTCCTTTGCTCAGAGGCATATTAATCAGAGTTTCCAACAGACTATATTTACCTTGTTTCAGGCAAAAACTTGCCTGAGTTTCCTGCTGAAGAAGAGGAAGTCCTGCTATTGTTGGAGCGTGTCATGGAAGCCAAAAGATTATCCATCATGGTATTAAACTGTTCTCGTTTGCCTTTTTCAAAATGGGCATTGCATTGATAATGGGTTGTCATTATTTGTCATTTTTGTTTTCTTATATCTGTATCGGTATCATGGTTGATGTGGTTATTCATTTTAATCAATCTTCTGTAGAAAATCAAGGAATCTGGAGGCAAGAAGAGAAACAGAGGTGAAGGAGATGATGACAAACGTTGAAAGAACTCTAGGAATCAAGAATGCTGTCAAAGATAAGAGAGATAAGATTGGTGTTTCTTTGAATGTGTATCTTGGGGTATTCAAATAACCGATTGGAACTGGAACCGGCGGATACCTGGGGTTTGGTTCTGGTTCCTACCAAACCGGCCGTCAACGGGTAGGTTTCGGTTCCAAATTTTTGGAACCGTTACTGTGTGGTTCCGATTTCGGTTCTTATAGTTAGGAACCTGAACGGGAACCGACTAATATAATATAAAATTAAGAATAGGGGTTAATAAAAACTTTTATAGAAAAAGTAACGTGAATACATTTTAATTTATATTTATACATTTAAGAAGCTGGTTTGAATTTTGATCTATCTTTACAAAGTATAGAGTTTGTAATTTTGAATTTATAATTTGTAATTTTATTTTTGTTAAAAAGTTCCAGGTGGGGGTGATTTGTAAGTTTTTAAGGGTTTTTTTGCCATTTAAAAACTTTTGGGGGGTCCTTGAAATTTATAGGGTACCCTAACCGAAACCAGAACCGTTGTTACAGGTTCCGGTTCTGGGTACATAGGAACCAGAACCGTCGTTCCGATTCCAGTTCAACTTTCAAGGAACCGTTGATTCCGATTCCTTCAAAAAATGCAGGTGCCCGGAACTGAACACCCCTATGTGTATCTCATGAGACTCTGATTCAATTTTTTGTTGTACTTTTCCAGTTAAGATGTAACCTCTTTTTCTGCAACTTCTGGACAAATATTTAACCTTGGAAACGTTTCAATTTCTTACTATTTATTTTTTTTTTTTGTTACATCTCGACTAGTCCCCCAACCCGAAACAGGCCACCGAAACAAGGCAAGCCCGTACGTCATGGCCAACAATATTAATAACATTTCTTGTGATTTGAACCTAAAACCACTTAGGGAGCAAACCCCTTGACCCCAAGCATTTACCATTGGGCCAACCCATTGTTGGTTTACTATTATGTTGTTATCACACCAGTCCTTGAATGGTTAATCAAGGTCACGAAATTGAGTTAATCTATAGATTGTGATATGATAATATTTTTGGACCAATAAGAAAGCAAACCCTTATTCCATTTATTTTTAAAATTTGAGTGAGTAACATTTTCCCACCCAAAGTTTGTTGTATTTACTTTTTGCACCCATAAATTGGATTAAAAAAACATCGTTTTATTCATACTAAAGTTTTAATGGCAAAAGAGAGCATTCATGTCCGCCCAATATATATTACACAGTCACATACAAAATTATCTTTCAGAAACTTGGAAATTAGTCATTTAAACCTCTATCTTCAATTTCTATAACTACAATAGAAGTTCTACTTTTAAATTATGTGTTTTTTTTTTTTAAAAAAAAAAAATTCCATATTTTATATTTAAAAAATTATAATAATATATGTCCATTAAATATTTATAAAACTACAAAACAATATTTCATTAAAATTAAATACATTTTATGAAATTATATGAAAATATAATTTAAAAACAAAGAGAAAAACTAAAAAATTGTTAAAAAAAAAAAAAAATCCAAAAATAAAAGCTTATGAAAATCTGAAAAAAAAAAATTAATATAAGCCAAACTAATGGTCAAAGTATATTTTATAAAGTTTGGGTGGTAAAATTTATTTAGCCTAGTTAAAAAGAGTAATACTACACCAATAACCTTTTCTCACAAACTTTCTCTCACAACCCTGATATAGCAGCTCGCAATTGGTCAGCTTGTAATTAATTAGTGAGACCCATACATGACTCATGTGGGACCCATTATGAACTGATCAATTGCGAGTTACCACGTCAAGATTGTGAGAGAAAGTTTGTGAGAGGAGATTATTGGTGTAGTATTTTTCAGTTAAAAATTATAAAGTCAAATAGCGAAGGGGATTATAATCTTTACGTAGCCTTACCCCCAATCGTGTCGGGTAATAGATTCCATTGATGGAGATTGACAATGGGTGAGAAACTCTTTTTCTCAAAGTTTATGGGTGGGAAATGCAATTACGGAAAACATTGGGTGGGATAAGTTATTCTCACTTAATATTTTCTGCAATATAGTAATTCATTTCTTTAACACAAAGAAGCCCGGACCCAGTTGAATGACAAGGGCAGCGGCTTGTTGCATAAACCTCAGCCTCACCCCACTCATTCCAAATTTCAACTCAATTTGCAGCATCCACATGGAACAAAAACCCCATACATTTCTCAAACTGCGCTACTGCTTAACCACCTCACAACACTACTTGCTCTCGTCAAAAAAAGCCACAATTAGAAGTTCTTTATTCCACCTCACCATAAAGATTGCTGCATGTTCGACGAAATGCCTAGCTGAACCTGAAACACCACAGCTCCAACCAAATTTCTCCCCAAAGAACTCTGTACAAGTTTTAAAGAAATGGGGTTGTAATGATGATGATATATCCAAGATTTTCTCGAGGAGGCCTTCACTTCGCAAGATTAATGTTGTTCAGCTTCATTCCAAGCTCAACTTACTAAGTGGGTTAGGGATAAAATCTTCTGACCTTTTCAAGATCATTAATAGTCGCCCGCGGTTCCTTAGTTATCGTCTTGACCATTGCTTTGAGGAGCGGCTTGATTACTTCACCAAGTTTTTTGGTTCAAAAACTGTGTTTTGTAAAGCCATTGTTAGGAACCCTTCACTGTTGACTTATGATTTTCACCATAGTATTAAGCCCGCCATTGCTTTGTATGAACAAATGGGGTTGAGTACAAAAGACCTGATCCCTATGCTCATTTCGCGACCCAAATTGATCCCTTGCAGTTCGTTGAATGATCAAAAGATTGATTATATAAACAGAAGCGGTGTTTCGAAAGCTTCCAAGATGTATAAATATGTGGTTACTCTCATTGCCATTTCAAGAACTGAAACCATCCAAGAAAAGATATCAAACTTTCAGAAGTTTGGTTTCTTAGAGGATGAAATTTTGAGTCTTTTCGGAAGGTATCCACTATTATTAACGTTGTCAATCGATAAGGTCCAGAGGAACATGATTTTTGTTGTGGGAACATTGAAGTTCCCTGCAAGTGTAGTGCTTCAGTATCCATTTTTGTTGTATCTCAATCTTGAAGCTGTATTGAAACCTAGAATTGTTCTTGCTAGGAAGATTCAAGACATGGGTTTGTCTCCGGAGATGAAGGGGCAGGCTGCAACATTGAAAGCTTTAAGAATGAAAGAAGAAAGGTTCTTGAAAGTTTATGTTAATTGTCACCCACAAGAAGTTGCTGATGAGTTGATGGAGGTTTTTAGAAATGCAAAATGTGCCAAGAGATTGGCAGTAGACTTTAAGAGGATTGTGCGCAGAGGATTTCCATTCTGAAAATGTTACAATTTTTATTTTGATTGTATTCTGTCCTTTTTTTTTTTTTGTCTTTTTTTTTGGTATTTCTCATTTGTATTTGTGATTCCATGCTTTACTGATTGTATATAGTTTAGGACTTAATTTTTAAAGTGGAAATTACCAAGGTTAGATTGTGTTAGAACAAGTGAGATAATAGATACTCCCTACTTTTATTAGCAACAAAAGAGGAGAAGACTGACAATGCATATGGTGTACAAATATTCTTAGCTATATCTGTACGCTGTGGATACATACAAATGTCAGACGCATATTTTTAATGAATAATGAGCATGCACAATTTTATGTGATTTTGACCTGACTAATAGTATTAAGTATAATGTCTATGTGGCCACACTCCATTTAGAGATGACAATGGGCCCGATATTTTCGGGTATCCAGCCCGGCCCGGCCCGGCCTGAAAAGGGCGGGTTTTACCCGAGGTTGGCTGGCTTGGGCTTGGGCCTGGGCTTGATTTTAAGGCCCAACCTCGGGTACGGGCCGGGCATGGGTATATCTTTAGGCCCGGCCCGTCCCCAAAAAATTTAGTATTAATTTTACTAATTTACCCTTATACTATATATTTAATTACAATATTATCCTACATATATATATCCATTTTTTCCAAACCCTAATCTCAATTTTCATCCCATATTGAAGGTTTAACATGTTAAAATTGTCTTTAAATGAGTTAGATGGGTTTGGTTCAACTTATAAAAGTGGATTTCACCATAACATATTATGCACAACTGAAATGTTAGTATAATCAAATATTATGGAGTTTTAATTACTCACTTATTGCTAATTTTGCGGAAATACTTCATTAATATTTAAAAACTATTTTAAAATTAAAAAATATAAAAAAAATTTGAAATTATTAATATTAAAATAAACATTATAAAAAAGGCGGGCTTGGGTCGGGCCTACGGTTATAAAAAACCCGTCGCTGGGCTTGGACTTTGCCTATCATACCCGTAACGGGCTCGGCCGGCTTGGGCCTAGTCATGAGGTGGGCTTGGGCTTGGGCCAAGGGGTACCCGTCCGGCCCGCCCATTGCCATCACTAATCCATTTGCTTTCAATACGACTACATATCTTAAATGATGAAATTTGGAATGTTATTCCTCACTCATGGAGAACAATATATTTTCTATCACAAGACCAGACTTATTGTTGACACAACTAACAATTAGATGATACAGAACTGAATATACGTCCCTTTTATAACCCTTTATTTAGACTTTCTGAATACCAACGCAATTAAATACAATTCAACGAAGAAATTTTTTCAATGTCAATACATGCACCTTATAATTATAGATAGCAATCCTAAAAGAGAAATTTACCAAACTATCATATAATCGAACACATCAATAAAAAAGGAAGTACATTAACCCTATTGGCATTGATGGCGAGTATATATGTAATAATTATTTTTGGTTCCGTTTTCAATCATACCTTAGTACACTAGTATCAATGTATGAATTATATAAATTATGTGGCTTATAAAAGTAATGTACCTAACACATTTCTATAATTATGATTACGATTAAGGTAAGCTATAACTTTACCCTAAAAAGAAAGAAAGGCAAACCTATAAAGAACAAATCGAGAAGACTACTCCAATTAATGATATAAAAATATGTTCAAACTGTAAACAACAACTCTCTTTCCTATAGATAACTTTATGCTATTGGATTATATATAATTATACCAACAACACTCTCTCACAAACTTTCTCTCAAACGTTCATTTGTGTTGAATATGTGAAAACATATTCAACACAAATAATTGTTTCTACTATATAGATATGACACATTTCATAGTTTGGCTGACAATAGGATCATCCTCGATTTGATCTTAGTAAAGTACATGAACTTTCCTTGAAAACAAACAAAACAAAATTTAATCGATCTTTATGTTAAGATTGTTAGGAACAGTTATTCATTCGTATAACAACTGTTACCTAAAACGAAATCAACAAAGTTAATTAATCTTCAAATTACAATTATTAAGGAATACACTTACCATTTGACAAGACTAACACAGTTATCATTCAAATCACTGACCAAATAAACAATCATTCAACCAAATATAACTGTTCAAATAGTAAGGAGATATACTTATAATTTCGTATCAAAATAATTGAAGATATACTTACAGTTAGAAAAAAAATCAAATAACAACTCATTTGACAATGTCAATCGGACATCCTTCCTTTATTCCATGTCAATTCATGAATCTCTGACTTGTAAACAACAACAAAAACATAAATAAATAAAATTATCATTAACAAAATCATAAAGAACAAATGTATTATTGACACAAACTACAATATGACTTATAAACATTAACAAAAGACCAAATGTATTGTGACACCAACTAATATATTGCGATAATACACAATTGCACATACGCCCTTTTATAACCCCTTATTAGACATTTCGAATACCAACACAATTAAATACGAATTGAATACAGAAATGTTTGCAATTTAATACAATGCACATATATATTTAATAACAAGTATGCTTTACTACTATAGCAATGCACCTATTGTTAGGGCCAAAAATGTCATCACCCAAATAGGCCCAAAGACGAAACACCTCCAACAAAAATGAAGGCTCAGGCCCAATTCCGATGGGGCCCAAATCAGAGTCCTGCAGATGAGCCCATTCGGTATGCTTTCCCAGCTCCTCACCATCTGGACCCAAGCCTCCTGAAATTGGAACACCTCTGGGCTTACAGTCAACTCAGAGCCCACAGTCGCCTACGAACTACATTACTACTTGAACTCTGCTAGGAAGTCAATTACTATCCCAATTCCTCCAGTCTGTATCCTAGCACATTCGAACTCCCTTTCCTATGGATAAAGGAGCTAAAAGCTACCCCTTTGAGAGGACTATCACTACAAGGACTCCCAGTCCTACTAGGATTCAAAGACCATACAGTCACTATTTAACAGAGGTCACCCTCTCACAAAGAGAAGACATTACACCTTCAGACCCTAGGTTCCCACTTGAGAACTGTATTACAATCGTAGTCACATCCTGACTAGACTTCCAGTAACCTTTCTCTCCCTAACCCTCACTAAACTACCTCACTCAGCCTTGCTGACTTGAGTGTCAGAGTGCCTATGGCAAAACCACCCGGTGTTTTCAGTCTGCTTCACGCTTGTTTTCTCATGTGTGCAGGTGCAGGATCACTAGTGCCTCAACATCACGAATCAGTCCCATTTCCGTACGGTAGATTTTTGTATCTACACCTATCTAATCTAATCTTTATGTCTATTTATTTAGACTTTGGAATCCAATGTAACAATTAATATTATCTAATCATCACCAATAAAATTCAAACGCATGCAATTACAAATCCAATTGTCATTATGGTTAGACCTTTAGAATGTCATGCAATGGAACAGGGCGGCTATTCTTAAACACTTTTGGAGACTACTTACTGTATCTTCTATATGGTCTTCTTGGGCTCGTTTGGTTCTCCTCCGTGGTCGGTCCTTGGCATATCCGAGTTACTTCTGGGCTTCATGGGCTTGGAGGAAGATTTTACTTAGCAGGGCTTGGTGCAGGGGTCTTATTGTGACTTGTATTGGAGATGTGGGACACCATGTTATGGCAGATCACTGGCTTCCGCAGGGCCCTCTGTGTGACTTGCTCCCTTTTAGAACCTTGACTTCCACTGGTTTGTCATGGGATGCTCAGTTTCGGACATCATTCGGGATGGTCGGTGGGACTTTCCTTTGGGCCGTACAGACCTTCAGCATATTTGGGACTCTATTACAGTGCAGCCTTCAGCGAGTCGTCCTGATCATCTTGTGTGGAAGGGTCATCCGTCTGGACGTTTTCTCTATTGATTCAGCCTGGAATGGGTTGCGAGACAAGCGGGATGTGAACTCGATTCATCATCTCTTGTGGTTTCCCGGTATATTCCACGTCACTCTTTCATTCTCTGGCTCGCTTCTCTTGGTCGGCTTCACACCATGGACCGGCTCAGTTCTCATGGTGTCATTACATCCTCCCAGTGTGTTTTGTGCAGATCAGCTACAGAGACCCATGACCATTTGTTTTTCAGCTGTGACTTTTCCATTTTGTTTGGCGGGAGGTCATTACCAGGACGCTCTCTACATGGCCTACTCTCCCCTGGCTCCCTCTACTTTCAGTGGGCGGGCTTGCATCTTCGACGAAAAGGTGACTTCAGCCACCTTCTTTCCCGGTTGGTCCTTTCAGCCACAGTTTATTTCCTATGTTTTGAACAGAATAATCGCGTGTTTTCGTCAGCATTGCAGCTCTCGCCGAGATATTGTCTTAGCTATTTGTGATCTAATTCGGGCCAAGATTTGGGTCTAGCACCTAAGTACGAGATCTCGACTCGCTCCGTGTGATATGTGCATCTTCCTGATTAGCTTTGTAAGGAGCCTGCGTGCTCTTTTGTGCCGATTTGTGGCTTTGTGTTTGTGGTGAGCCTGCGTGCTCTTTAATGCCAGTTTGTGGCTTTGTTTTTTATGGCATCTTCTTGCTTTGTGGGGCCTGCGTGCTCTCTTTATGCTGTTTGTGACTTTGTGGGTTTTCCCCACAGGCTTTTGACTGAGAGTTTATCAGTCATCCTCTTGGGTGTATGCCCCTCGTATTTGTATATTTTTTGGTCTTTTATACATACTTACCTTATCCAAAAAAAAATGTCAATGCAATGCACCTAAATATTAGTAGTATTATCAATTATTAATACAACAATGCAATGCACTTACGTAATCCATTTTTATGTCTAATTATTTAGACTTTGAATACCAATGCAACAATTAAATTTTTTAACATTATTACCAATAAATTTAACCACACGACAATCACAAATTCAATATATCATTATGGTTAGACCTTTAGAATTTAATGCAATGCATGTTTATTATTATATTATTATTTTATTATTATAATTATTAATAATATTTATTTTTTAAATTATTAATAATTATGA